TTGGAGACGGGAAACAAATTCTCCAGTTGTCAGAGCATGCTTCTCGACAGCTCCTGTCGAAAGTTGTTGAATCCCCACCCAGCCTGCTACTCCCATGCTTTCGACGCCGTCGACTTCTCTTCGAAATTCGGTGAGGGGGGGTAAGGTCGGGATGGACTAATGCTTGTCGTACCCTCTGGCCCGTTCCTCTTTTTCCATCTTGCATTCACAAGTGCGTGCACTCTACAGTGCTGTGTGGCTAAAGGGGGGCAAACTGTCGAATGGAGGCTGTCGAATTTGTTCTGACAGCCGTTGAATTTTCTCGCCTATCCACTGTGGTGCGGCGAGGCCCTTAGGGCCTCGCCACACAGCCTGTCGAAACGCGAAAACGACAAAAATGTGGGAGGTGCATCTGGCCATGTTCTAGCGTGAAGTTCATTCTCGTTTTGCACATTTCGACAGCCTGTGTGGTGAGGCCCTAAGCTGCCGGTACATTCCCCAGCCATTTGTCTTAGACACCGAGTGGATGTGGCTGGCGCCAGGCAAAGGACGGTCCGTGCCGCTTCCTTTCGTTGTGGCAGTGTGTTTCCGAGGGTCAGCAAGGGAATGGTCAAAAGTACTGGTAAAGAAAAAAAAAAGGAAAGACAAAAGTACTGGTGGTTTGAAAAGAAAAAAAAAAGACAAAAAACTGACATGTTTTCGTTCAACGAAACTGCTTGTTTGAAACTAAAAAATGGTAGATTTTTGGTGTGATTTCCATGACCTTCTTTGCATTTGGGGAGGGTGGTGTCGAGAGTGGTGTCTACAGCAGACATCACTGTCCCAAACCACAAAGAAAGTCCCCAAGAAAACAACAAAAAACTGTTCATTTTAAACTGCAAGCAATTTTGTTAAACCGCCAGTACACGGCCCCAGCTACGATGCTTTTTTTTTTCTTTTTTTCTTTTTTTTTTAAACACATCGGCGGCGGGGATGGTGGGGGCACCGATAAGAGCACACAACCCTCCCATTCCGCATCATGATGGCTCCATTCCATTGCTGGGGAGCTGCACCTGCTGGAAATTGGGTCCAGTGTCCCTTAACATTCACTGCAGGAAGCCATGATTATAGCAGTTTCAGTTGTAGGTTGTAATTAATGGGCATAGAATGGAAAATTAAAGAAGAAGAAGATGTAAGTTTTAATATCATGGCGTCACCAACTCCTCCCCGACATCCTTGATTCCACACCATCAAGGAAACTCAACCCTTCTACTCATCCACCACTCAGATTGACAGCAAACAATTTTGTTAAACTGCCAGTACACTTGATTCAACACCATCAAGGAAACGCAACCCTTCTACTCATCCTTGGTTCAATACGGCCCCAGCCTTGCAAGATTTCTTCATGGCTCATTCCTGAAATTTTGGAGGCTTGGGCCTATGGGACCGCAAAAAATGGCTGGCAGGGGCAGCCAAAACGAAAAGAAGTGTGCTGCTTCGGCCAAGCTTGGCGCACGGAGGTGAGCTACCCCCCCCCCCCCCCCCTAAAACCACTAGTACCTCCGCCAGTGTTGGGGAAATAGGGAAAACTGGCAGTTGTCCCATTTTCCCGGAAAAGTTTGGACGTCCCAGAGGCTCGGCAAGAAGAATAAAGTTTAGTTTTATATTGCCCGCTCATGAAAGATACTTTCTCTACTGCAATGATGTCGGGCAGGGTAGTCTAGGAGGCCGTGCTCACAGTAGTCCTCCACACAATGAATCTTGCTGCTAACACGGTATGTTGTCGCTTTCTTTTCTTTTTCGTTCTTTTTTCCCTCTTACGAGTCCACTGCCAGCTAGACAGGGCATAGTCCGTGATTTGCTGAAGCTGTATTTCCTCAACCGTGATCACACTGGCACTCAGATGAATGCATCCAGCCAATATCACGGCCGAATCAGTGTTTTTCCTTTTTTTTTTCTTTGTATTTCTTGAATCTGACACTCTGGCCACG